CCCATACTGTACCGTGCCTCAAGCTTCCAGATACTCACATCACCCCCACTGTACCGTGTTTCAAGGTCCCAGATACTCACCATAACCACACTGTACCCTGCCTCAAGCTCCCAGATACTCACCTCACCCACACTGTACCGTGCCTCAAGCTTCCAGATACTCACCTCACCCACACTGTACCGTGTTTCAAGGTCCCAGATACTCACCACACGCACACTGTACCCTGCCTCAAGCTCCCAGATACTCATTATACCCACACTGTACCGTGCCTCAAGCTCCCAGATACTCACCTCACCCACACTGTACCGTGCCTCAAGCTTCCAGATACTCACCACATGCACACTGTACCCTGCCTCAAGCTCCCAGATACACACTATACCCACACTGTACCGTGCCTCAAGCTCCCAGATACTCACTACTCCCACACTGTACCCTGCCTCAAGCCCCCAGATACTCACCACACCCACACTGTACCCTGCCTCAAGCTCTCAGATGCTCACCACTCCCACACTGTACTCTGCCTCAAGCTCCCAGATACTCACCATAACCACACTGTACTCTGCCTCAAGCTCCCAGATACTCACTATACTCACACTGTACCGTGCCTCAAGGTCCCAAATACTCACTATACCCACACTGTACCATGCCTCAAGCTCCCAGATACTCACCTCACCCACACTGTACCCTGCCTCAAGCCCCCAGATACTCACCACACCCACACTGTACCCTGCCTCAAGCTCCCAGATACTCACATCACCCACACTGTACCCTGCCTCAAGCCCCCAGATATTCACCTCACCCACACTGTACCCTGCCTCAAGCTCCCAGGTACTCACCACACCCACACTGTACCCTGCCTCAAGCCCCCAGGTACTCACCACACCCACACTGTACTGTGCCTGAAGCTCCCAGATACTCATCACACCCACACTGTACCCTGCCTCAAGCTCCCAGATACTCATCACACCCACACTGTACCCTGCCTCAAGCTCCCAGATATTCACCACACCCACACTGTACTGTGCCTGAAGCTCCCAGATATTCACCACACCCACACTGTACCCTGCCTCAAGCTCCCAGGTACTCACCATAACCACACTGTACCCTACCTTGAGGCTACCTTGAGGTGCTTCCGGGGCTTAGTGTCCCCGCGGCCCGGTCGTCGACCAGGCCTCCTGGTTGCTGGACTGATCAACCAGGCTGTTAGACGTGGCTGCTCGCAGCCTGACGTATGAGTTACAGCCTGGTTGATCAGGTATCCTTTGGAGGTGCTTATCCAGTTCTCTCTTGAACACTGTGAGGGGTTTGCCAGTTATGCCCCTTATGTGTAGTGGAAGCGTGTTGAACAGTCTCGGGCCTCTGATGTTGATAGAGTTCTCTCTCAGAGTACCTGTTGCACCTCTGCTTTTCAACGGGGGTATTCTGCACATCCTGCCATGTCTACTGGTCTCATGTGGTGTTATTTCTGTGTGCAGGTTTGGGACCAGCCCCTCAATTATTTTCCACGTGTAAATTATTATGTATCTCTCCCGCCTGCGCTCAAGGGAGTACAGATTTAGGCTCTTTAGTCGGTCCCAGTAATTTAGATGTTTTACTGAGTGGATTCTAGCAGTAAAGGATCTCTGCACGCTCTCTAGGTCAGCAATTTCTCCAGCTTTGAAAGGGGCTGTCATTGTGCAGCAGTACTCCACTCTAGAGAGCACAAGCGTTTTGAAAAGTATCATCATTGGTATAGCATCTCTAGTGTGAAAAGTTCTTGTTATCCAACCTGTCATTTTTCTTGCAGTTGTGACGGCTACTTTATTGTGTTCTTTAAAGGTAAGGTCTTCCGACATGAGTACACCCAGGTCCTTTACATTGCCTTTTCGTTCTATGTTATGATTTGCCTGAGTTTTGTACGTGGTTTCTGTTTTTATATTTTCAATTTTTCCGTAGCGCATGAGCTGAAACTTATCCTCGTTGAACACCATATTATTTTCTGTAGCCCATAGAAAGACCTGATCTACATCTGATTGGAGGTTTGCCGTGTCCTCTATGTTGCCAACTCTCATGAATATCCTAGTGTCATCTGCAAAGGATGATACAGTGCTATAGGTTGTGTTCTGGTCTATGTCTGATGTGAGGATGAGAAAAAGTACTGGAGCAAGCACAGTACCCTGGGGGACTGAGCTCTTCACGGTTGATGGGAAGGATTTTATTTTGTTGACTATTACACATTGGGTTCTGTCAGTCAGGAAATTGTAGATCCATCTGCCTATTTTCCCGGTAATTCCTTTTGAACGCATTTTATGTGCAATAACACCATGGTCACATTTATCAAAAGCTTTTGCGAAATCTGTGTAAATTACATCAGCGTTTTATTTGTCTTCCATAGCATCTAATGCCATATCATAGTGGTCCAGCAACTGCGACAGGCAAGAGCGCCCTGTTCTGAAACCATGTTGTCCGGGGTTATGGAGATGCTGTGATTCCATGTATTTTGTGATCTTACTTCTTAGCACTCTCTCAAAAATTTTTATGATGTGCGATGTTAGTGCTATCGGTCTGTAATTTTTTGCCTCTGCCTTATTTCCTCCTTTATGGAGTGGTGCTATCTCTGCTGTTTTTAGTATGTCAGGGATAACGCCAGTATCTAGGCTTTGTCTCCACAGAATGTGAAGGGCCTGCGATAGTGGCTTTTTACAGTTCTTGATGAATATGGAGTTCCAAGAATCCGGGCCTGGTGCAGAGTGCATAGGCATACTGTTTATGGCTTCTTCAAAATCTAGTGGGGATAGGGCGACGTCTGATATATGATTTGATGTTGGTATCATATCCATGAAAAATTCATTTGGGTTATCAATCTTTAGTGCATTTAATGGCTCACTGAAAACAGAGTCGTACTGCTTCCTCAGTAACTCGCTCATTTCTTTGTTGTCATCTGTGAAAGTTCCATCTCCCTTTCGCAGGGGCCCGATACTAGATGTGGTTTTTGATCTTGATTTTGCATAGGAGAAAAAATATTTCGGATTTCTCTCTACTGTATTTCACTGATGGCCTTTTGCTCTCTTTGCCTCTCCTGGGTTTTGTATGATTCTTGTAGCTTGAGTGCCTGCCTCAAGCTCCCAGATATTCACCACACCCACACTGTACTGTGCCTGAAGCTCCCTGATATTCACCACACCCACACTGTACCCTGTCTCAAGCTCCCAGGTACTCACAATAACCACACTGTACCCTGCCTCAAGCTCCCAGGTACTCATCACACCCACACTGTACCCTGCCTCAAGCTCCCAGATACTCATCACACCCACACTATATCCTGCCTCAAGCTCCCAGGTACTCACCACACCCACACTATACCCTGCCTCAAGCTCCCAGATATTCACCACACCCACACTGTACTGTGCCTCAAGCTCCCAGATATTCACCACACCCACACTGTACTGTGCCTCAAGCTCCCAGATATTCACCACACCCACACTGTACTGTGCCTCAAGCTCCCAGATATTCACCACACCCACACTGTACCCTGCCTCAAGCTCCCAGGTACTCACCATAACCACACTGTACCCTGCCTCAAGCTCCCAGGAGGCCGGGGTTAGAGAGCTCGGATGTGGAGAGTGTAGAGCGTGGTGCTCTGAATGCAGGTGTGTTGAAGAGCTGGAATGTGAGAAACGAGTGTGGATGCTCGATGCAGACAACAAGACAGCTCTGGCTGTCTGCTGTGCCAAGGCGGTAGCATCTGAAGAATGGAGGAACTAGACTCATCAACTGTTACATCATTGCTGTGACTGTCAGTGGTGCTGAACACCTGCGGTATCTCTCAAGCGTCCAAGTTAGAACAATGATGATTCACTGAAGAAGGCTAATATTACAAGCTTTCCCTTCACCTTGGCCAACCTGACCAGCATCTAGCAGGTTGGCAAGTGCTATTAAGTGTAGTTACTTGTACACTTGGGAATTGTAATTAGTGAACCAAGAATCAGTGTAAAACTTCTTGGAATGTGAAACACTGATAGATTATGTAGAATTAACAAACCCATCTCATTATCTGCACATAAGCTAATGAGAATATGGAGCAAGACTATTACTATGGAACTTAACATAGATGCTACAGAGAACACTTGGATGCAAAAGCAAAAGCTTGGCCCCCAACTAAAACACAAAAATTTATCCAGTGCCCTCTAGCAGAGCAGAAGCCAGCTGCCCACCACGTCTGAGGGCACACTAGGAACCCACCAAGACCTGCCAATTCCCGGCACCTCTCGGCCAAGCCGGCACTGGTCACCGGCACCCCACATGAAGAACCAGCCAGAAAACGTTCAAAATCTATCAACCTAAGGTGGTATGTGTGCCAGGCATTGTAACAATCTGTACCATTGAATAGGAATGGCAAATGGCAGTATCAAAACTCAAAATAAAGAAATAGAATGTGATCCGGCGGCCCCAGGCAGAGCAGGTGTCCAGACGTCTGCTCGTCGTCAAGGTTGAACCAGGAATCCATCCCAGCTTGGTGCCTTCTCTTGATAATTAATTACTTCCTATCCCTATTAAGGCCACTAGAGATGGTGGCCCTCGGTCCACCATCTCTAGTGCAAGTTTATGCCTGAAATCTAGTGCAATTTTGTGCAAATATTCCTAATGTAATAATTAGAAATGTTAGCTCTATTATTAGAGAGAACATTTCTGTTATTACAGATTTCTAATAATAAGCGGTAACATTTATAATAATTAGAAAGGTAAAGGTAAGATTTCTACTAATGAGAAATCTCGCGTTTCTACTAATTTATTTATTTATTTATTTACATATACAAGAAGGTACATTGGGATTGTGAGGATACATAGCATAGTACAGTAATTACATTCTTGTAAAGCCACTAGTACGCGCAGCGTTTCGGGCAGAAACGCCCGAATGAGAAAATGAGAAATCCTAATGAGAAATCTTACCTCTTACAGCTGTGGAATAAAAATTTTTATGTAGCAGTTGTAAATGTTAAGGTATATATTTTTGTTTACAGTTTGGGGGCTACTCTGCAGATAGTTTGGCAGAGCGAATGTTAGATGCACAGACGACTGTTCTCATCACCGCTGATGCCGTGTGGAGGGGCCCAAAGCTCATTGCCTTGAAGGAGATTGCTGATGATGGTGTAGTATATTAAACTATTTATCTATTTTACATAATTCATGAATTTTTACATTAAATATGGCAAAATGTTTGATGCTGCAGTCCATATAAAAATGAACTATGCATTATGCATTATTCACTATCTGATACAGCAGCATTGCATGAGTCAGATAGGTGAAGAGAATGCTCAGGTTAAGGGAACCATGAAGAGCTCAGTCCCTCAGGGTACTGTGCTTGCTCCAATACTTTTTCTTATCCTCATATCAAACATAGACAAGGACACAATCTATAGTACTGTATCTTTCTTTGTAGATGACATTAGGATTTCTGGGGGGAGCCCTGTCGGCTCCACGGAGCTATCCAGGTTGATATGAGATATATACAAGAGTTACATACAAGAGTTGTTACATTCTTGTAGAGCCACTAGTACGCGTAGCGTTTCGGGCAGGTCCCTGGAATACGATCCCCTGCCGCGAAGAATCGTTTTTTCATCCAAGTACACATTTTACTGTTGCGTTAAACAGAGGCTACAGTTAAGGAATTGCGCCCAGTAAATCCTCCCCGGCCAGGATACGAACCCATGACATAGCGCTCGCGGAACGCCAGGCGAGTGTCTTACCACTACACCACGGAGACTGCTAAGATATGGATATCTTAGCTTTCTGCCATCAGTCAATATGCATGGAGTTCTTGCCTACTAGGGACCACGAGCCATAACCTGGCCCCCTCAGAGAGGCACGAGGAGCAATGGTCTATAGAAACCCTCGTGTGATCAGGAGTCAGGTCACCTAATTACCTAAGTGTAATAATTAGGTACACTAATTATTATTACATGCTACTCTTAGGTAATTACCTAAGTATAGTTACAGGATGAGAGCTACGCTAATGGTGTCCCGTCTTCTCAGCACTCTTCTAGCAGAGGGTGTGGTAGAAAGATTATGAAAATTTCGACGCATGTACAGCAGTTGGATGAGGCCGTGTACACGTACACGGCCTCATCCAACTGTACATGCGTCGAAATTCCATGCGTCACCTTCACTTTCACAGGTTGAAATATATTTCATAATTTTCTCTTTTTGTTTCCTTATATCAGAAACAGTACTAGTGCCTATATTAAATTCCTTGGCAACACTTGAAGTCGACCGGCCATTTTCACAAAGTTGTATAACACGTAGCTTGTCCTTAATTGTTAGGACAACCTTCTTCCTCTAAACACCTCCAGAATGATTCATGCTGCTACCAGACATAGTCTTGGCCAAAAATGTTCAAAGTTACTATGAAAATAAAAAAGTTATTTAAAAAAATATTTCACTAATGGCGCGGCACTGTGGTGTAATACGAGGGTCGAGAGCACATGGGTTGACCAGGCATGGACGGGTCCAGTCGGGGCAGGGAGGAGGCACGTTACGTAGGCAGGGAAAAATAACAATATTTTTGAAGGAAACGTAAGCCTGTGCAAATTGTTTTTAGGAAACTTGTATGGTATTTTTTATTACATAATTACTAGTATTTCTTTTGGTTTTGGCTATGATGATTTGCTCTAAAATTAATGGCAATTCCTGTACTGTACAGTAGTGTATAGGCCGCTCCCCATCTCCCCTTATCCCCCAGCTGGTCCCTCCCAACGCTCCCCTCTCTCCCGACCACCCACCCACCCCAACCTCTCTTCTACCATGCACCTCGCGCCACAGGCAGACGGGATTAATACGGTACAGCCCGCCCCATGGCTTTCATATCCGGACAATTCAATGATTATCCGGCTGACTGTCCGGATAGTGTAACATTGGCAGCAAGTTCACCGGCTCCGATTTTTTATCCGGCTAAACCGGCTTTTATCCGGCTCCCATGGCCATTTTGGCCGGATATTGAGATAACTTTACCCGGTCATGATTTTGGCCGTATAAGGGCGTTTTCAGGATGTTTGAATCCCGGATAATCGAGTGGTTACAGTATTATGGTCCAGGACGGACTGAAACTTCGTCGTCCCTTCACTTTCCAGTGTGTGGTTTGGTCAACAAAGCTGTATTAGGCTGTTGCATTGAGCTTAATAATGACAATGTGATGTCTCACTATAGACAAATGATAACATATAGGGAAACACAAGTGTCTTTAGACAGATTCTTAGTAAGACAAACAAGCAGTGAGCCACAACCAGGTCCTAGTGGTATGCCTGCAAATTGTAGGGGAGTGAGTACCCCAGAGAAGTCATCTCTGCCTGATGTTAGTGTATGGAAGGGGAGTCCCCTTCCATACACTAACACCTCTCCTCCTTCCCCCCACCCCCCTCACTATCTTCCATATGCCAACAAGAGTCATCAATAAACGTAAGCTATAACTTGTACATGCTACAGTACAAAATATTTGTGCATTATGTATGAAATGTATTTTGAAGTTAATATTTTTGGGAGTGTGGAATGGATTAATTCAATTTACATTATTTCTTATGGGAAATTTCGTTTCAAGTTACTAATTTTCGAGTTACGACCCCGTCTCTGGGAACGGATTAAATTCGTAAATGAAGGGGCCACTGTAGTCATATAATTATACTTCCGACCTTGAAAGTAATATCCATTCAGTGACACACACAGCTGGTACCACTGACGCTCACACAAACCGATCTTCTCAAATACCCGTCTAGCACAAGTGACTGTACTCGTACATCACGCCACTAACCAACTCTTGTACAGCATAATACAACAGTGTAATATAAAAGTATAACTGCAATACAATCACATAAAATAAATAACATAACATAGCACATAACATAATACATAACATAGTCCATTATGTGTTGTATTGATGTATGTACTATCTTAACCGGAGAATGGAATGATTTTTTATAACTGTTGTTGTTTTCCTAGCACTGAAAATATGCAAGTCAAAGAAGCTGAAAGTGAAGATGAATCTGGTAGTGCAACACATGAAGAATGTTACAACACCGCACACTGCCAACAATGCTGCACCCAATTGCAACCCAACTAAAAAGACTCATTTTGATGACAAGGTTTGTGCATTTCTCTTATCTGAATTATTTTCTATACAATATGTTGTCTACCAGTATTTTTCAAAATTGTCTTGGCTTTTGCACTAAGTAATGTATATATAATATCATATCAAATTTATATATACTGTATAATATTTTAGAATTTCTTGAATAAATCAAATATTTTATGTTTACAAGAAATTAGGAGCAGTTTTGCTATATAAAGAGCAGATGAAATTACAGTGGAAATTTTACTTTCTAAAGTATTTGTGGCTGAACTGTCAAAAAAAAACAGCGTTGATTGTAATGAATTGCTATTTTCTGGGTGATTCCCGGAGGCTTCCCGGAACTTACCGGGCTGATATGCAAGTATTAGACCGTGGCAACGGTCCTTTGAATGGAGTGCTAATGCCTACCGGGAACCACAAGCCAGAACCTGCCCCCCCCCCTCCTTAGAGAGGCATGAGGAGCAATGGTCTATTAAAACTCCCATGAGGTTGGAAGCATTCTATATCTGCCATCAACCGGGTTAAACACCCAGAAAGGTAGGCATCCCAAAACAGATCCTAACTGGTAAAACATTGCTACCGAAAGCCAAACTACTAAGCAGAACTCCCCATTCTGAAAAAAGCAAACAAACATGACCTCACATCTACCGCTGCGCCATCTGTCTGCGCAGCTCCCCCCCCCCCCTCCCCTCCCCGGGAGGGGGAAGGGAGAGGCCTCAGACCTTCTGCATCTGCTATCCAACCTCGGTTCTGAGGCTGAATGTCAAAACTGCGAAACCGCTGACCAGAGAGCCTCCAGGACTCGCCCAGAAAATGGCGTTTCCTTACATTCAACGAGGATTTTCTGTGGAGAGCCCCTCTGGCTGTCCGGAGCTAACTAACCATAGGCAAAGTAAAAAAAAAAGGGACATACTAGGGAAGCTGCTGCCACCCCCATCTAATCTCGAAGTCAAGACAATGGGCGGCAACTGACGATATACACGTGGAAAATAGTAGAGGGGCTGGTCCCTAACCTGCACACAAAAATAACATCACATGAGACCAGAAGGCATGGCAGGATGTGCAGAATACCCCCGGTTGCCAGGTCGCTGGACACTCCCAGAGATGAACGACCAGAAGAGCCAAACTCCGAGAACTCGGCAGATGAGCTACTCGAAGCGACCAGCCCCAAAGAGGCAAGGACCGAAGAGAACCCACGCGGTTCAGGCAAGGAACAACTGAAGAGCAGTCCGAATGGAGCCGGATTGAAGAGCACCGAGCAACTCTAACCCTCCGAAGCGAAAGCCAAACTGCCGCGAACTTCCGCACCGTGCTGTGAGCCCGGCAGGACAGAACAGACGGACCCCACCACCCCTGGACGACCTGGTGAGCACGGGTCACAAAACTCCAGCTGAGAGACAACGCGTCCATGAACACATTGAGCGTGGGCACGGGAAGGCATCAAGGTACTGAACCCCGAAAAACCTGAAGAGGAAGCCGGCGATGCAGCAACTGACGCAAGGCTCCTAGCGGCCGAACCCAGCAACCATGAAAGCTGCGGAAGGGATGGCCCCAAAGAAACTAGAAGAACAGCTGCTGAAGCCAGACCCAACCTGGCAAGTAAAGAGCACGGGGAAGTGCAGACTCCCGCACAGCTGCTCGAGCAGCCTCCGCATGACCTGGGACCCCCTCCCCCCAGCCGTAGCAGCGACTCTGGAGGAGACAAGGAAGTGGTCTGAGAGTCCCACACAAGACCCAGCCAGGTTCGAACTGGAGAAGGAACCAGATAAAGCTACCCTGAGTACACCAGTATTGGGTACTGGTGTGGAACCAGTATTGAGGTGGAACCCAGAGGTTTCACCTCAAAAAGCCCAAAGGGAGTCCAAAGTCCATGGGTCCAAAGAGCCCCAATGAAGTTTTCCCAGGGCCCTTAGGCTGACTGCTGAGGGAAGCCCAGGCAAGGTACTGCTAACCGGGTGGACCAAACTACCAAGAAAACAACTAATGCTGAACCCTTGTGACATGTACAATCACAGGGGCCTAGTGGGGGACCACCAGAATAACAGAGAGTAGATAACAACCAAGGGGCAGACCCCCCACCAGGCAAAACAGACAAAAGAAAAAGAAAACCCTGCAAAAGCACAGTGTCCCCTAGAAGGAACAGAACCGGCCGCTGTGTATATTGGAAGATAAGCTGCACAGTACCTTGTACCCCTACCAGCTACGATACCACCTCCTACCCAAGGACAAACAGTGGCTATGAAAACCCCAGCTGACCCCCCCAAGGGCAGGCAATTGCGGAGCAGCAAATGATCCCTATAGAGGTAGTTCCCGAACGACTTGTGGAAGGCCACCCCAAGCAGCAAGGACAGTACTTACAAGGCACTGAGGGAAGGCGACCCTAGGTGCATGCAGCCCCAGTACTTCGTGAATTACTCCTGGCTTGCACACCACAACACAGCAAAACAACACTGCAAGGGCACCGCAGTGCTCAGTGGGGAGCCAGAGTCAAACGCCTAGCACAACAGCCTCAGAACTGAGGTTGGATAGCCAGAGTGGAGGATCTGGAGCCCCTTCCCCCTTCCCTCCTTTCAGGAAGAGGGAGTTGCGCAGACAGGCGATGCGGCAGCGGATGTGACGTAATGCTGCTTTGCTTTTTCAGATTAGGGAGTTCTGCTTAGCAGTTCGGCTTTCGGTAGCATTTCTTTTTACCAGTTGGGGTATGTTTTGGGACGCCTACCTTTCTGGGTGCCTAACCCAGTCAATGGCAGACATACTATAGACTGCTTCTAACCACAGGGGAGTTTCTATACACCATTGCTCCTTGTGCCTCTTTGAGGGGGCCAGATTTTGGCTCGTGGTCCCGTAGGCATTAGAACTCCATTCGAAGGACTGTTGCCACAGTCTAATACATGCATATCAACATGGTAATCTCCGGGGAGCCAGAGAGGCTCTCCACAGAAAACTTGAATTGTCAAGATTGTTGAGTGTATCATCCCACTTTTAAAAATTATTCATTGTGTGCCCCCCCAAAATATAAATTGATATAAGTTTACTAAATACTGTAAACTCAAGGTATAGAAATATTGTAGAGGGAGAAATATTGTTAAAAATGTACATCATAAGGTAACTCACCAATGGTGCAGGTGTTCCTGAAACATGTCATGACTGGTATATAAAGTTTAGCTTTATAGTTATTAATTAATGTAAATGTTTCTCTTAGTTAAAATACCAGTTGGTTTTATTTGTGTTAATTTATATACTGTATTACATTTGTGTTTGATAAGTATTAGTAAATGAGTATGATTCAGTATTTAAAGTTTTCCTGCGTGTTTTCATGAGAGGAGCGTCCCTGCACTCCACAGGAGAGTGAGGGCTGTTGGTGTTGGCTTGAAAGTAAACCAACACATCCTAGTTCACGCGACTGTGAAGGCCGACATTTGTGCTCAGTAAACATTGAGCACCTGAACCCCTAGTGCACCCCATCAGCCAACATTGCTTCTGACTGAGGTAGACACAGTTGGGTCAAGAACCTTGACTCACCCAAGGCAAAGGCCACCTCAAGCAAGGAGGACCTCTAAGGAAGCAACCTCTGAACACACCAGTGAAGAGAACTGTCAGTGCAATGACAACACTATGGAGCACCCAGGGAAGGAAATCTTAAGCACATGCGGCTCCAAGCACACTGAAGACCTGGCTCATGATATACTGCAGAGTAGTGTTTGCCGAAGGGCAAATGCCATACTATTTAGCTGAATAAACAGGATAACGAAGCAGTACGAGAGAGAGGCGACCCAGTAACTGCTACATCAGCACTCAGGGAGCCACTGGAGGCTCACCCGTGAAACTAGCATTTCATTACATTCAATTTTTTTTTTTTTAATGAATGAATGCAAGTATGTATTCAGTCTCAAATATTTTTCACTTACTAGTTTAATACTTTTTATATTTTTTTAAATTAAAATAATAAATTTTCCTGTATTATTGGAAATAATTTATTGTATTTGACATGAAAATTACATGAAAGATGTAAGTAGAATTCAGAGATTGTACTGTATTCTCAGTAGAAGAACATTGCCATTCACTGTGGACATGGTGTAAAATGAATTAGCACAAGTCAGATGTAAACTATAGACGTGTGGTTTAAAGAATTGTACAGCATACTGTTGCCTTCAATGAAGTCTCTTCTCTATGTTCCCACACCTGCTGCTTCGACTCCAATATCACCGATATCAACCTATCTTCACTGGTGGGGAACCTGCAGGGCAACTTCAAGGTAGTGGTATAAAATGATCCACGCTATGGTATAGGTGTTGGGCTTTGTATAATAGAGCTATTCTTACGCACTGCCTTTGTCTTTTGTTATTGCACATATTCTGTATTAGAGCACAACTCTCTTTTTTTTCTAACAGAGTATTCTGTATTGTATGAATTGTATATATGATGGTTTCTTTTTAAATATGATACCTTTAAAATTTAAACCTATTCAAATTAGAAAGTATACAATACAGAAGATCCTTTTTTCTTGTGTATTTTGAAGTGGATGTGGAAAAATATGTACAGTACTGTACTGTACTTATAGCTGTATATTGCCAAAATAAAATTAGCTGTCCTATATTCCTGATGTATTTGTTAATTGCTTGTCTTAATGTACATTCTCGACTTTTTTCTGGTTGGCGCTGGTCTGGTCTTTTTCCCGGTTGCTGCTGGGCCGGTTTCTTTCCCGGCTGTTGGTGGTCCAGGATTTTTCCTGGCTGGTGCCGGCCCGGAATTTTTCTCAACTTTCTTAGCTGAGTCAATTTTTGATGCAGAATGTAAATTTAATTTCTACTAAGAAGTTTCTAAATGAGCATAAGTTAATTCACAATAACTGGAGAATTACTCTGTAATTTAAATAGCAAACTACACTCGTTACTCTAGAAATCTTCTATGGGTAAGGACCCATAGCCTCGAAGAAGAAAATACAGAGTATTCAGAGAAGACCTTGTGGATTCTCACTGAACTCTTTAATATTTTCTTCTACTGTCCCTATTTTTGTTTATTTTTTTTATTTTATTACATTACTACAGTTTACAGAAAACACACACACACACACACACATGCCCTTCAAGAAGACCTGGACAAAATAAGTATATGGAGTACCACTTGGCAAATGGAATTTAATGTGAATAAATGCCATGTTATGGAATGTGGAATAGGAGAACATAGACCCCACACAACCTATAAATTATGTGATAAATCTTTAAAGAATTCTGATAAAGAAAGAGATCTAGGGGTGGTTCTAGAGAGAAAACTATCACCTGAGGACCACATAAAGAACGTTGTACGATGAGCCTATGCTACGCTTTCTAACTTCAGAATTGCTTTTAAATACATGGATGGCGAAATACTAAAGAAATTGTTCACGACTTTTGTTAGGCCAAAGCTAGAATATGCAGCGGTTGTGTGGTGTCCCTATCTTAAGAAGCACATCAACAAACTGGAAAAGGTGCAAAGACATGCTACTAAGTGGCTCCCAGAACTGAAGGGCAAGAGCTACGAGGAGAGGTTAGAGGCATTAAATATGCCAAAACTAGAAGACAGAAGGATATTTTTTTGGATCGACATCTCATGCCTAATTTTTTTGATCGACATCTCATGCCTAATACTGTTGTCTTATCATGTGGCATTGGCAGAGCCACTCCAGCTTGCGTTCGGGGTGGATGTGGCTTATGCTCCGTTCTGCAAGTTTTCGCATGCATTTTTTCATCCCCAGCACAAGTTAGATTGCACAAGTTACCCAGACAGTGGTCTGTTTTGATTCGCCAACCTTTCTGGGTCCTTTCCCGGTCGATGACAATTATGACATACAGTGGTAACTCTGTTTAAGAATTTAATTCGTTCCTGGAGACGGTTCGTAACCCAAAAATTCATAAAGTGAAGCGAATTTCCCCATAAGAAATAATGGGAAATGAATTAATCCATTCCTGACTCCCCAAAACTAGAGTAAATTTTAAACCTAATTCACCCAAATCTTCACTACAAAAGTATGTTCAAGTTATTACTTATCCTTACTGATGACTCCTGTTGGCATATGGAAGATGGTGAGGAGGGGGGGAGGAGGATAGGTGTTACTGTTTGGAAGGGAAGTCTCCTTCCATTATAACATCAGGCAGTGAAGATTTCTCTGGAGTGTACTCTCTGGCATGTTTTGCCTGCATACCACTAGGTCCTGGTTGTGGCTCACTGCTTGATTTTCTCACTTTACTCACAAGGAAACGTTCCATTGAAGATTGTTTTTCCCTTCTTTGCAACACTTGTCTGTAGTGAGGCATCACATTGTCATTAAAAAGATCAATGCAACGGCCTACTACAGTTTTATCTAGGTGATTCTTTTCAGCAAAAATTTGCAGTCCTTCCCATACTGCACACATTTTCTTAATTAATGAGGAAGGGACATTCTCTACTACCTTCTCTTCCTCCCCTGAAGATTTGTTGTACTGCCTAGCTAGTTCAACAACACAAGTACCATTTTCATGCTTACGAATAATGATCTCTTGTTTATCCTCAATGGTCATTCTCACTTGTGATTTCTTGCCTTGAACCTTACCACTGGCTTTCTTGAGACCCATGGTGAGATATATAATAACTTTTATGCTCAAATGGCCAAAAATCCGTCAAAAAACTGTAAATTCTTGTGAAGAATTTAGGCAAGATAGTCACTGGGCATGAGGCACTGTAAAAATGAGGTGCGATCACCGTGCCACCGTGAGCTAGGTCGGCTGTACGTGTATCAACAAACTCATGTCCCGATGCAACGTTCGTATCCCAATTCAAATTTTCCGAACAAATCGGGCTTGTAACCCGAAAAGTTCGTAAACGGGGACGTTCGTAAGCCGAGGTACCACTGTACTTTAAATGTACAGTGCTCATAGGCCATTGCTCCCTGCGCCGCTCTGAGGGGGCCTGGTTCTGGCTCATGGTTCTCGGTAGGCATAAAGAGTCTTGTGACTGAACTAACTAATATAGCACATATCAGTTTGAACAGCTTCAGGAAGCCTTTGGGGTTCAGTCAGAAAATGGCATTCCATTACGTTCATCTCGGGTTTTTTCAAGATGGGGAATGATTAATGGAGGCCTAAGGAAGCAAATGTGAGCCCCATGTATATGCAGGACTTTTAAGTCTTAAACGGTTCCCTAATATTTCACGTGATGGGATGCGCAGCTTGGCCTTACTTAGCCACCCCATCACCTGATGGGATGCTTAGCCAAAGGGATAAGGTAAGGGGTTATTCACTGACAGTGATGATTAGTTCCCCTTGCTATCCTCAGGGTTTGTTTCTTTCTCTCAAGCTGATATTTGGTGTTATTTTGCCTAACCATTCTGAGGTATCTTCTCAGTTTTAGATTGATCTCTGATCCTGAAGCACCCCTCACTTTGTAGAGGGAATCAGATTCTAGTCCTGGCTCCCGCCTGGTGAGCATGGGACTCAGAGGCCTGGTGTAATTCAAAGACTGCTATGGCAGTGTGCAGTGACAGCCCACAGTAAAAGGCTGTTGTATTACATTCAAAACTACAGTATTATTATTACTATTATTGTTTTTGTTGAATTTATTTGAATGTATTTTGTGATTGGTATTGTTTTGAACATTGTCTTGGGAATCAAATCAGAGGTCATAATAATTTCTTAGGATATGAGGCTACCCATTCAAATGTTGGCTAGATATAATCTTTATTGTGCTTGAAGACTAAACCCCACACACCAGAAGATGAGGAGACGATGACGCTTTGTCCTGGATCATTATCAAGTCGAGTGTCGTCGTCTCCTCATCTTCTGGTGCGTGTGTGGGGTTTAGTCTTCACATCTTCTGCTAAGTTATTGTGACTCATCGTATGTTTATTGTGCTTATTTTTTACATTAAATGTAAAATGGTAATTTGAAATCCATTTCAGGGATGTTAATAGTGTACTCTTTATATTACAGGTTGGATGGAATTCAGATGTTGATGTATGGTGGCATGAAGCAATAAATAATATGAGCAATGAGTGTCCTCCTGTGTGGGTGGATACAGAAGATCCTCTCTTCATGCTATACACTAGGTTCGTGGCTGTTTGTCTAATGTATCATTTATTGATATGTTTTTAATGTGACCTTCAGAAAATAGAATGTATATTGACAGATATTGGAATCTCCAATATCTTCTAAAGCATCCAAAAATTGTCCTATTATTAATACTGTGATGTAATAGTGATATGATGCAATTCTCTCTTACATTAACCACTACGGCCTGTGTCGCATGGTGCGTGTGCACTTGTGTACATTGGTCTGTCTTCGTTGCTCATACCCCTTGGTTCGGGTACTGGTCTGGTAGCACATTCTTCAGTTTGGTTTGTTGGGACAGGGCCTGCGACTTTGTGGGTTGGTCTTGTCTCTTTCGTTCATGTTTTGCTGCATACCTTCTTCGTTCCTCATCTTCTTGCTTCACTCTTGTCCCTGGCCGCTGGTGCTGGGGCTGTTCTTCTGATCTTTTTCTCGTTCTCTCCTACACACTGTTGTGTGCTTTGTTTGTGCCTTTAGCCTTCCTGTTGCCAGGTTTGGGTTCCTGTTTTCCTGGCTTGCCCTGCCTGTTGGCATTTTCAGGGTCTTGCGGTGTTCCTTCTCTGGAATCTCGCGTCGGACCTGTAGTTTCCGATCTCCAGGCGAGCTCGCTCACGCTGGGGAGTTTTTCTGTTCGGCAGATGTTCCATCTCCTTCCTTGCCAGCTTGGGTTTCCGACTCTGCTTCCTCGGTGGTCGCGCCTGAGATCTTCCTGCGGCTCCGCCTCTTCCTAGGCTCGGATGAACCTTGACGGGACCGGTTAGGTTCTGCCTCAAGTCTCTCGCTTTCAGTTGGTGGTCAGCTGGCTTCGTTGTTGGTGTCCCACCTGCGTGCTACTTCTTGGCGGGGGTATGGGGTATTTTAGCGGTCCTTCCTTTTCCTTCTGTTCCTTCTTAGGTAGCTGCTTTGTTGGCATTGGCTTGGCTTTTCTGGTGGGGGTTTCGGGGCCGTCATCTTGCCGCATACTGTCTCCTCGTTTCATGCGGGCGCTGGAGGAGCTGCTTCAGCTTGCTTTCGGTCTTAGTGTTACATCTGTGCCATTCGTAAGCTGTCTCGTGCGTTGTTTCACCTCCAGCCTACTCATGCGCCGCTTGAGCCGTCCTGATCTTTGGACAGCGTGCTTTTTTTTCTCCTTGATTGGTTGTGACCCCTTCGGTTCGGGTTTGTTTCTCGAAGGCTCTTTTCCTGTTGGCATTTGCCTCTTGGGGTTGGGTCGTTGAGCTTCTTGCTCTCCTCTGGCGCAGGGGTTTTTGCTCCTTCGATTGTGGCAATTGGTTTGTTCGGTTGCAGCTGTCTCCCTCTTTTCTGACACGGGATGAGGCTGCTGCTTTCCGGAGGGGTCCTTGGTTTGTTGGTGCTAGGTTGGTCGGGCCGGGGATGCATCGTGTTTGGTTGCGGCCCTCCGCTGTTATTTGCACGCCACGGCTTCTGTGTCTGGGACACGCTTTGGATTGATCCGGTTCCGTTCTTCCCTGTTAGCGGATGAAGGTCTTCCGGGTCGTCCGCCGTGTTATTGTGGCTAGCCAACCTGTGTTCCTTCCCCGTGCCCCTGGTGTTCATGGGTTTGCTGTTCTTGCTGCCGTCTTGGTGGCATGTCCTAGCTGACATTCGGGCACGGGGCTTTTGGCGGTCGTACAGGGGCCTGGCTGCTTGATATCTCGTGTCATTCCTGGGCCCATTCGGGCCTGTGTCGCCTTGGGTTGGCGGCTACAGCCAGTTGTCTTGACTTTGAGTTGGAGAGTGTGTGGCGACCGCTTCCCGGGTACATCCCTCTTTTTTCCTTTGTGGGTAGTTAGCTCCGGGAATCTTTGCTTTGTTTACACTTTGTGGGTAGTTTTACTCGATTAAGAGGTTGATCTTAGAACCCCATGCTCCTCACTTTTATAATCAAACTATTTTCTGATCATGATGTTGAGTAGGCCTATACAAATCCAGAATCTTGGTACTTTTGTTGCTGTCTCTGTGGTATAAGCACCAATTGACTGAGGAGCTACTGAAGGCCAGCCCAGAAGGGGCAATGTTTCAATATCCAAATTTGATGGAAATTCAGATAATCCAGAACTACAGGAACCATATCAAAGCTCTCAAATTTTACTCTCTTGTATGGAAAGGAGAACTGTCTCTGATAAGATGGGCACATGGAAAATACTGCCATGTGAGATTCCAAACCATTAGAATAAAGTTGCGACATAATGAAGTAAGAGAGAGATGGTAGGAAAAGCCTCTCAAGCATAACCATTCCTGGCTCCTGGGCCACCATGTCCAGTATAGTGGACTAATATATAATATCAAGCTCTGTAGGTTAGATTACACCATGTTTCAAGTTACTGTAAATTAATGGTGTAAATATTGGTGTTCATACTCAACTAAAAAGATTTAATGTAATGCATATTTCAGGACTAGTGGATACTGAACAGTACAGTATACATTTTATATATTTTTATTATTCATGAAACTTCCCAGGTGATTTAAATGATAGCTTACTACTGAATTCAAAGAAATATCCATATCTTAAATATAATGTTATTTTTCATAAAACAGTGGGAGTACGGGCAAGCCCAAAGGAGTGTTGCACACTGTTGGTGGGTACATGTTGTATGTTGCCACAACTTTCAAGTACACTTTTGACTACCACCCGGAAGACGTCTATTTCTGCACAGCTGACATTGGGTGGATCACCGGTCACTCGTACGTTACCTATGGACCCATGTTGAATAATGCCACGTCAGTCTTGGTAAGTACACTTTTGGATTAATATATATTTTTAGCTAGTATAATGTTTCTCTCATCATCAGTCAGTTTTTACATAGCGTGCATTCTCAAGCCTGTATTCTCTTCAACCTTTTTTGTTTGCCTCTCATCTTCCTGTCTTGTGTTTTTAATTTATTTGTCCTCCTTTTTTCCCCCCTTTTATCCACTTCTTCCCATATTCTCCATTTTGCTACCTTTCTCTTCTCCTCCTCCCTGTCCTCCATCTGTGAGAGGGTTTAAGAGAGAAGCTTTACTCCCCTTCCAAAGGGGAGTAAAGAGAGGAGGGGGACTCCCCTTCCAAACAGTAACACCTCTCCTCCTCCCCCCCCCTCCTCACCATCTTCCCTACGCCAACAGGAGTCATCAGCAAGGGTAAGTAATAACTTGAACATACTTTTGTAGTGTAGATTTGGATGAATTAGGTATAAAATTTAGTTTGAAGTAAAGTTTTTGGGTAATCGGGAACGGATTAATTCATTTCCCATTATTTCTTATGGGGAAATTAGCTTCAGTTTACGAATTTTCGGGTTACGATCTTTCTCCAGGAATGGATTAAATTCTTAATCCGAGATACCCCTGTATCTTGAAATGTATTTTGAGATGATTTCGGGGCTTAGTGTCCCCGCGGCCCGGTCCTCGACCAGGCCTCCACTCCCAGGAAGCAGCCTGTAGCAACTGTCTAGCTCCCAGGTACCTATTTACTGCTAGGTAACAGGGGCATCAGGGTGAAAGAAACATTTTTGCCCATTTGTCTCGGCCTCTACCGGGGATTGAACCCGGAACCTCAGGACTACGAATCCGAAGCTCTGTCCACCCAGCTGTCAGGCGCCCATGTACATGTTTTTGTGCCTTCGTCGTATATTTCACAAAGCTTGGCATACATCTTATTTACATCGTTGCCTAACAAGAAGTCTTACCAGTCAAATTCATTAAAGAACTGTGTAAGTTCTCCATAATGTCCTCCCCTGAAATCAAGTTTTTTCAACTGCTTAATTTTCCTCATTCTATTCTAGATTATAACACATTACATACTTTATTTCTAAAAGGACATGGTGAATACTGTTGTGTGATGATTTATAATGCAATCCCTTTATGTAAAAATGGAGTTAGAGAAGATCCTGTAAACTATAGACTAGTATTCCTGACCAGTGTACAGTACTAGACCAGTCGACAAGGTAAGTTGATCAGATTTGTATGTAAAATTATAACGTGATAATCAACCAAACATCTTTACCTATCTTTCTGTTGACCCCATCTCTAATGGTTTCCTCTTACCCTCTCTATACCTTATTTCTCCTTTTAACCCAAACAGGAGTAAACATACCTACATAATTGTAAATAAATTATGATCTACATAATTGTAAATACAACTATATATTTATGATATTGTGTTCTTTCTACAGTTTGAGGGGGTGCCCACTTACCCACACACTGGCCGCTTCTGGGAAATCATTGAAAAGTACAAGGTAACCAAGTTCTACACTGCTCCCACTGCTATTCGAACACTTATGAAGTTTGGTGATGAGCCTTTGAAAAAGTTAGTTGGTAATTTATTTACAATATTTGTATTATGCAATGTTTAATGATAGAATGACAATTGTCATTCACTTATTGTATCCGGTATCGTACTGTAAAAAAAAAAAAAGCATGTGTCAAGTACTAACATTAAACACAGTTATGGTGGTTTAGATCTCTCGGGAAGATTTTACATTGTGTTTTTAAAATTTCAATAAGACAGTGGCTTTTTGGCTGTTGAAAGCATTCATCTATTTTTGTCCTTTTCTGGGGAAGGCCCCCCCCCCCCCCTGATGGTTTGGTGAAGTTACCTTGGTGAGATTGCTCCTAGCTAATAAGTCACATCAGTCGCATGCATTCTGTTTGGCTTACCTGGAGAAGCAGATCCAGAAACTAGACCACCCCTCACAATCGTGCAGAGAGCAAATGACATTGCCCCACTCCACCAGGAAAGCATCCAGAAAAGTCTAAAAATCATTACAGGCAAATGTAAGGTTCACAGAAATAAAGCCTTGAAACTGCCAAACAACTCCCCAAATAATTCAAAACATGATCGAAATATTCATAACTAATTTATCTCGAACCTGTTAGTACCTGTACTGATAACCATCTCCAGGCAACCCTGAACCCCCCCCCCCCCTTGCTCACCTTCCCAGTTCAGTGCTCTCACTGATATGGCGCTATGTGTACCACTGTAGTGCTTCTGCGCCACCATCAGGAGTTCCAGGTCTCCATGCTTCTAAGCTAAATATTGGTGATCTTTGGACTTAGTCTTTCAGGCTCCATTTGCTTGTGTATGCATTTCAAGTTTTGGCATTTATTTCATGACCATATTTTCCACTTTGCGTACTGTGTGGAAGCAAAGCATGTTTGATGCTTTGGACTGCATGAGCTTAGGGTTTCCTTTCCTGGGCATCCACTGATGCTTTCCTTGCTCTGACAGTTACTTCTCTGGTGTGTTTGGTTGTTCACCCTTTTGAGTGCCAGGCCACCAGGGTGGAGGCCTTACCTCAGACATTTGAAGAATCTTTGTCTTCCTTTGTTTAGGCCCATGATTGGGACTTAACTTTTTGATATAGTTTGGGTGCACTGGGGGTTTATATGCTTGTATATATTAAATATTGACCATATGATATTGAACTACCTACCTATGAACTACACTGTTCAGAGCTGATTTTGTTACTGCATGAGGTGATTGTTGTTACAGTGAGCATCCCCAGTTCCTGGGTGTCCAGTTTGGCTTGCAACCTTCAGTCCTTGCCAATTGCCCCATCTGTGGTGTTTTGGCATGCTTATTTATTTATTTTGTGACGTGATCTGGAATAGAGCAGTAATTATTCTGGCTGGTGTTGTGCCAAATGCACATTAATAAAAAAAGAGAAAATAAAATAAAATAAAGCTGCTTGGGTTCTCTACAGTGTATCAATTGCGGGCAAAAAACAAAGAGAATAAAAGCTTTAAACATTTAACATAACGAAAAATGACTTTAATTTTACACAAAACGATAAATAACAATTAATAAAAACAAAACCCTTATCCACTTGGCTTAAACACAATCAAAAGAGAAATATATACATGTGAATTTTACATTAATGATAAAAGTGTAAGTAATATTTTATAGTAATAATAAACACACATAGCACAATATTTGTGCTGTGTGTGTGTACCGTCACCCGTGGGGAAGGATAGATGCTGAAGCAATGAGCACCAGAAGGGTAATCTGCTGAGATGAACGCTGGTAAGCCCTTATGTACAGGGTGTGACATCATTTTGGCGCGAATTCTGGAGCTGGAGACCAGAAGCCGGCAAGATAAATACAATTCACAATAGTTTGGCGTCGGGAGTGCTGGCTAGATGGCAGGTGTGCTGTCTCTCGTGGAAGATAGGTTGGAGGGAGGGATGGGGGGGGGGGAAGATACGTGTCTAGACAAAACTTATGGCACATATTGTTATTGTTGATGTTGAGTCTTGATGTTGGAGCATGCAGATACGTTTGTGATAAGGAACAGGCAGAATCTACGGCTATGTAGGAGATAACTTTAACAATGTATTTATTTATTTAATTTATTTAGTGTATGCAAAAGTACATAAATACATAGGATAAGAAGATTGCATGAATCATGAGTAGAGCAGGTACAGTGCCCAAAGCCACTAATATACAGAGCATTTTGGGCATAAAATGGAAAACCTAAGACAAAACTAAATGAGATCAAAAGCAATACAGAATTTAAGTAGATCAATATAAAATGACAATTATTACCCGACGATTGGAACAGCAAAAATATCAACAGAACATATTAATTTTAGAACATAAACAGAAGGAAACAATTCCTTACTAATTTTTTAATGGTAGATAACAGTTATCAGAAGTACAGGTTCAGTAATTAAACTTCAATAACAGGAAAACATAGGTTGACATTTAAGAAGTAGTGTATGTTACATGGAATTTATCAGGTAGTTCTTAGTTTCTCTTTTTAAACTGGATGAGAGAAGGACAGTCTTTAATGTGATTAGGAGGTCATTCCACATTTTGCCATCCTTATTTGCAGAGCATTTCTGGGGGGAGCTTCTTCGGCTCCCCAGAGCTATCCGGGCTGATGGCGTTTTCCAGGGCCATTGCTCCCTGAAACCTCTCTGAAGGGGCCAGGTTCTGGCGCTGGTCCCTGGTAGGTCTGAATTCCATAGCTAATGTCCCGGTACAATATAACATACATTAGCCCGATAAGTTCCAGGGAGCCTCCAGGGCTCACCCAGAAAATGGCGTTTCATTACATTCAACGCTTTTTTTTTTTATTTTGCTAACCCTTTTTAAAGTTAAAAAGTTTATCTCTTTTGTCCACTTGTTATTCATTTATTAAAAAAACTAAATTGTGCCACATGTAATTGGTAACAATGCAATGTTAAGAATTGAATAACTATCTTAACAAACAATAATAACTTGTCCTGTCGACTCCCTCAAACTGCATTGCAAACCCCTATAGGTCTGCAACCATAGATTAGGAGCATATGTATATTGCATCCATGTATACGCATATTAACAATTTGTACGCCATGACCAGGTATGACATCTCAAGTCTGTCAGTGCTGGGAAGTGTTGGGGAGCCTATTAATCCAGAGGCTTGGCTGTGGTACTACAGAGTGGTTGGTGACAGTAATGTTTCTGTTGTTGACACATTCTGGCAGACGGAGACAGGGGGCCATGTGCTCACTCCTCTACCAGGTGCTACACCCACCAAACCAGGATCAGCTGTAAGTAATCAGACAGAAATATAACAAGAATATATAATTTTGTTTCCCTCATTAAGTAGATTTTGCACTAGCAATTTCCATACTTAATCCAGAATAATCTACATTGCTATTATTATTATTACTACCATGTTCCCCCACTTTCATGAGATTTACAAGCATCATGCTAAAATGTTCTGCATCTTAGTAGCATTATAAAAATTACCTTTTTACCTATGTATCACCATACATAGGTGTATTACCATACATGTATGTATTACCCTATACATGTATGTATTACACCATACCTGTATGTATTACCTATGTATAATTACCTGTATCATGTTTTAAATGTACATTATAAATACATATTTTATAATTATTATAAATATCTGAATAGTAGCAAATCAGTATACTGTACTGTAGGCATAAAATTGAGTGTTGAGCAGAATAAAGTGCTCTTTTCTGAGCTTTTCTTGGTGAAGCCTCGTCGGCTCCCTGGTTGCTCTCACGTTGTTCGGCCTGCTGAAATGGAGGAATACAGAGAACATATACGGCACGTATAGACGCGATAAAGCACCTAAATTATTGGGATCGTCTCAAAGCTCTCCAAATGTACTCACTAGAAAGGAGACGAGAGAGATACCAAATAATATACACATGGAAAATACTGGAAGGCCAGGTCCTTAATCTACACAGTAAAATGACCAACTGTATTAGAGTGAATGATATGAAAAAAAATGCAGAATAGAACCAGTGAAGAGCAGAGGTGCCATAGGCACAATCAGAAAACACTGTATAAACATCAGAGGTCTGCGGCTGTTAAACGTCCTCCCAGCGACTATAAGAAATATTGCCGGAATAACTGCGTACATCTTCAAGAGAAAACTAGATTGTTTTCTAAAAGACGTTCCGGACCAACCAGGCTGTGGTGGGTATGTGGGCCTGCGGGCCACTCCAAGCAACAGCCTGGTGGACCAAACTCTCACAAGTCAAGCCTGGCCTCGGGCCGGGCTTGGGGAGTAGAAGAACTCCCAGAACCCCATCAAGCAGGCCTCTATGGGCACATTGTTCGGCCTCTATGGGCACGTTGTTCGACCTTTATGGGCACGTTGTCGAGGCTGATATGTAACCATTAGCTTTCTGGCATGAGTCAAAGTACATGGAGTTCTTGCCTACTGAGGACCACGAGCCAGAACCTGGGCCCCCTCAGAGAGGCATGAGGAGTAATGGCCACTAGAAACCCCCGTGTGGTTGGGAGCATTCTACGTCTGCCATTGACCGGGTCTGGCACCCAGAAAGATAGGCGCCCCCAAAACAAACCCCTATTCTGGTGTAAATATTGCTACTGAAAGCCGAACGAGTAGACAGAACTCCCCAACGAAAATTAGCAAACGAGCATGATGTCATCAAGTTGCCGCTCCCCTGTTTACGCAAACCCCTGTCTACTGTTTAGGTCATAGGGACCCATACATGGGGGTGGGAGTTGCTTCGACTTTGGTTCTGTTTACCCCTCCTTATCCTTCTCCTTCAGTGGTTCACTCTGTCCCCTCTCCCCCTCGCTGCTGGCTCTGAAACGTCCCCAGCACCTGGGTGTCCTGCATAGTGTCCCCAGCACCTGGGGTTACTATGCAGGACACCAAGGCACTGGGGACACCATGCAGGACACCCAGGTGCTGGGGACACTGTGCAGGACACCCAGGTACTAGGGACACTATGCAGTACCTAAATATAAGCCATCACAGCCTGGGGTTATATGGTTGTGAAGACCAACCTCGGCACACTGAAGGGAAGCCCACAAACCACCAGTGCGCTTTATCAACCAAAGCCGCACCCGACCCGAGTTAAGACAAAAAATTGGTGAGGTGGCAAAATGTCACTATTCTCTGCAGCTCTGTGAGGGAAGAGGGGGGAGGGGATGCCAGATTTGGCTGTGGTTCCTGATAAGCCTAAAGAACTATACAGCTGATGTGACCTGGTAGATGGGAACCATCTTAATATAACATCATGCAGTCACTGGGTCTGCACCAGAAGTTAGCATTTCATTACATTCAAAGCTAATTTTACTCTGGTTTATAATAATTCATCATTGCATTTCTTACTCTCATGGAGTGGTGAGGCACCAAACAAAAATATGAAACAATATATAGTTATAAAAGTTGGTCATAGGTTTTAGAAAATTACACTTAAACTTTGATTACAGTGTATCATCCACAATGATTTAAATGAAGATAATATATTGTTCTCTTAATTATAAAAAGTTTACATGATACATTTGACATTTTGATTTTCTTTGCCATGAATATTTTTCCCGTTTCAGACTTTTCCATTCTTTGGAGTTGATGTGGCCTTGTTAGATGAAGAGGGTAGAGAAATAAAGGGGGTTGGAGAAGGCTACTTGGTGTTCAGCCGACCCTGGCCTGGTATCATGCGCACTGTCTATGGTAACCATGAACGTTTTGAGACTACCTATTTCAAGAAATTCCCCGGCTTCTACTGCACTGGGGATGGTAAATATTTGCTTCTCCTTTACCAGTATTCCTAACAAGAGTGGGAGGTGAATGTTTGAATATGTGCAAAGTAGGAAGAGCAGGGATGGGTCAGACAGCTTTTGGTGAAATATATAGCATGAAATTAGAATGACTACTCATATAAGCTGAACATAGCATTAATTTATAGTAATTTGCAAAGTCTATGACTTACAAGGAACATAAAGTATAAAGGTGTAGTTGCAAGGAATATATTGAAAAGAAAATTGCTTTAAAGTTTAAGACTACTGTATTTCAATCTACATTGATAATATATATACATTAAATAAATGAAATGCCGATTTTAATTCTGAACTTTTCTTTAAGACTTTAACGTCAAAGAATATATTCAGCCAGAGGTGTATTCTGTGTGTCTATACGTGCACTGAAGCACCTTTAGTCATGACTTATGTTTAGTCTTAAACTACTGTATATGGTCTCGTAGCCTGGTGGATAGCGCGCAGGACTCGTAATTCTGTGGCGCGGGTTCGATTCTCGCACGAGGCAGAAACAAATGGGCAAAGTTTCTTTCACCCTGAATGCCCCTGTTACCTAGCAGTAAATAGGTACCTGGGAGTTAGTCAGCTGTCACGGGCTGCTTCCTGGGGGTGGAGGCCTGGTCGAGGACTGGGCCGCGGGGACACTAAAGCCCCGAAATCATCTCAAGATAACCTCAAGATGGTTGGTTAATAAGCTATCTTGTCTTGAGGTTATCTTGAGATGATTTCGGAGCTTAGTGTCCCCACTGCCCGGTCCTCGACCAGGCCTCCTTTTTGTTACACACCCCCCGGGTTTTGGTTTTCTCAGTTGCAGCAATCTAGGTTGTATGCCCAGTTGGATGGCCTGGAGCTGCCCCAGTTGGTTTTTAGCGACCCAGAATTGGAGGTGTTTGTGAACTCTACCTTGGCTTCATTCACACATCATTTTCCTTCCCCTTCGAGCATGGTTCACCCTTCCTCTGTTCCTCCTACCCTGCTCCCAGCCCCAAGACATATGAGGGTTTCTGGGTCGGGGCAGGATTTGGCTTTAGATGTGGTTCGGGTGGCTCTGGGGGTTACCCTTTTCAAATCAGGCACTGAGGCAGTTGAGCTGGTTTGTCCTTCTGAGCTTTTTGGGTTCTCCTTTCTGCTAGCCCCTCCTTTCTTTGATGCCTCTCCCTTGGAATTTGATTTTCTGGTTCTGCCTCGGGACCCTCTTCTGCAGCTTCCAGTACTTGGGGGCTCAGATTTGGGCCTTTGGGTCCTGTTTGACTCTATGTAGATCCTGATTCCTTCCAAGGAGAGTCTTCTTATAGAGCCGAGTGCTGCCAGATGTGCACCAGGTTTGTGTAATTACCTAAGTGCAGTTGCAGGATGAGATGAGTGTTAACTTGTTCCAACCATCTACCACTTTGCAAAAGTGAACCTTCTAACTTTTTTTGTCAGCTTTGTTTGAACCCATCTTAAACATTTTTGGCAGCAGTGGGATTCAAACCAATGCCTCCTTAGAGACTGGAGCCTAAATGCAGCGACTTAGAGCACTCTGCCTCGTTACACTGGTTGCCTGGTTGGCTGACCCTGGGACCCACTGCTGTTATCAGGTGGTGAGCAAGTTCATGTAGGTAGCAATTTTTTCTGTCGTAACTATTTTTACAGGGTTACATATTTCTTAAAAGCAGTTGATTGTTTCGAAGCATTTGCGCTTTCTGGTGGGTGTTTTGCTCAGTTTTGTGATCCCCAGGCTTCCCCATACCAGTACTTCTTTCATGGGGCCAAATTCTGGTGCCGGTCATGGTGCTAGTCCTGGTCCCCAGGTGACACTCGTGGGTCACACTCCTGGTGTGTGCCTCAAAGAGCGAAACAGGAGAAATAATATAAAGGCTAGGTATGTGACTGCCATCAATTAAAAATATAAGTATTACTGAAGGTAATACAGGGTAATAAGGCTACGGGGGCCTCGTAGCCTGGTGGATAGCGTGCAGGACTCGTAATTCTGTGCCGCGGGTTCGATTCCCGCACGAGGCAGAAACAAATGGGCAAAAGTTTCTTTCACCCTGAATGCCCCTGTTACCTAGCAGTAAATAGGTACCTGGGAGTTAGTCAGCTGGCTTCCTGGGGGTGGAGGCCTGGTCGAGGACCGGGCCGCGGGGACACTAAAGCCCCGAAATCATCTCAAGATAACCTCAAGAAGGTATGTTGTGTGGCCATGAGAGATTTAGAAATAAAAATTTTGTGTAAATCACTTTGAAAGCAATCAAGATTCAAACATTTTGCTGGAGCTTAAATGATCCCAGAGTGTGAAATGATGGTTTGAGCCAGCTTAAATTATAATATTGTTGTTAGGCATTGTAGTATAGTATGCTGTTTAATGTTTGTGTTGTACTCAGGTGCCAAGCGTGATGAAGATGGTTACATATGGGTCACTGGACGCATAGATGACATGTTAAATGTCTCGGGGCATCTCCTCTCCACAGCTCAGGTTGGTGATTAATGTTTCATTCACACTTTTTGTCTTTATATAAAATAAAAGGGGTTGGGGACACTTTTCCCCTTCTCTTTCAAGCCCCTCTAACCCCCTCACCCTTCTACCCCTCCCCCTTCTAGCCCTCCAAGATCTGGTGGGTGAATGTGGTCTGGGCAGCTAGGGGTGTCTGAAGGGCATAGTGGGGTCTGGGAAGTAGGGAGGTGTCTGGGAGGCATAGAGGGGGGGGGGGGGGGCCTGAGAGGTAGAGTGAAGTTGAGAGTCAGAAAGAGGGTGTGCTAGGGGCAGGGGAGAAGAAGGGGCAGGTATGGGTTTTGGGGTAGACAGGTGGGGGGGTAAGTGGAAGGTGAGGCTCAGGATGGGATTGGGACAAGAAAAGGGTGTTTGAAGGCAGTAGAGAGGTGAGAGGAAGGGTCGCAAGGCTGGGGTGTTGCAAGGTAAGGGGGTCATACTGGAGGTGAGGTGCAAAAGGGGGGTGAGGGTTGTGGGGGGGGGGGGGTTGTTCGAGGATGGAATATCCTAAAAAACCTTCTAGATAACATGACACATGACCGGAAAACTTCATTCATTGAAGCCTACAAGCCAACCAGAAAGAGTGGGAAATGAACAACAACAATTCTAATAGACCAGGGTCGGAGACTATAGTCAGGGAGGAAACTGAAGCAGAAACTCAGGAATTTGTAAACCCTGATTCAGTATGCCCGCATGCAGACGACAGTAGACTAAAAAGTGTAACAGACAGCACTGACGGCTCTATAGGTACAGACACTACAACGGTCCCCAATGGAGCGAGTCAGACCAGAAGGACAGGCATATACAAATTTTATGTAAAGGGTATATGCAGGCATAGATATGCTGGTAATAAGAAAAGATTAGAATGCAGTTACCACCATCCCAATTTTTTTTTAAATATGCTTAGGAAAGGATAGTGTCTTTGAATCAACATGTAGGTTTTTCCATTATGACATGTGCAAAACCTCACTCGAGGACAGAAAATGCTATGACCTCAGCTGCCCTTATGTCTCATGTGAAAGGCACGGAACTCTACATAAAGAGTGGCAAGCAAGATAATGAATTTGCAGGAAACTCAAATAATCTTTTATACCAAGCCGAAAGAGATTTCAAAAGGGGGAACATAGAGAATGTATGGAACTGTGTGGGAAAATCCTAGCAGGCATTTATTTATTTCTGGGGGGGGGAACCCCTATGGCTTCCCTGAGCAATCCATGGCTGTTATGGATACCCAAGCTATTTTGCATCAGTCGATGTGGGTGGAGTTCTTGCCTACCGGGAACCACGAGCTAGAACCTTGCCCCCCCCCCCTTCCCTCACAGAGCCACGGGGAGCAATGGCCCATAGAAATGCACATGTGATTTGGAGCATTCTATATTTGCCATCGATTGGGACAGGCACCCAGAAAGGTAAGCGCCACAAAACTAACCCCTATTCTGGTTAACAATGAAAATCAACAAATGAGTGGACAGAACTCCCCAAAAAAAAACGAGCAGGCTGCTCCATATGTAAATGAAAAATACAAAACATGTGGAACACATTTGAAACAAAGAAAAATTGTTATAATGGAGCAGCCTACCCGTCAAACACTGAATGAACCTTTATGGCATTTGTCCACTTTCCAAATTGTTTCAACTGTTTTTTTTATTTTTCGTGTTTTTTTTTTTATTTAAGAAACATGGAGCAGCCTACCTATGGACAACCGAACTAACCTTTTTGACATTTGTTCTGGTTTTCAAAATTCTTCATTTTTTTTTATTTTTTTTTTTTTATGTAAGAAACATGGAGCAGCCTACCTGACGACCACCGAACGAACCTTTTGCTATAAGACAAATGGAAAATAAATATTGAACAAATTTGAAGAAAGAAAAATATCAAAAAGGTTTGTGCAGTGTATGTACAGTAGGCTGCTCCATTATTTATAACATTGAATATCATATTGATGTTTTTCGGTGGTAGAACGGATTAATTTGATTACCATTAAGGTCAATGGGGACATTCGTTTTGTATGACGTCCATTTCACATGAAGACGACGGCGCTGGAACGGATTCAATTCGTTATACGAAGTACCACTGTATATATATATTATATATTTAACTAAAAAAATCTTTAGCCAATGTAGTGAGGTATATTACAAATAATCATATAATCTACACAAATTAAATTCAACATTTCAGGTTGAAAGTTCACTTGTTGAGCACCCAGCAGTAGCAGAATCTGCAGTAGTTGCAAGACCACACAGTGTGAAAGGAGAATGCCTCTACTGTTATGTCACACTAACTGAGGGCAATGAGTACACTGACAAGCTAGTAGCAGAACTTAAAAATAAAGGTAAAGTTATCCTTATAGGTATAAAGTATATGATATAAATGGTCATTTGCTAAGATTGAGTATTCCTCTTCAATGTTTTCAAAAATTTTAGATTTTCTGGGGGGAGCCCCTTTGGTTTCCCGGAGCTTACTAGGCTGATATGCTAATGTCAGACTTTGGCATCAGTCATGTGTATGGAGTTCTATGGGTCTACCGGGGACCACGAGCCAGAACCTGGCCCCCTCAGAAGAGGCAAGGGGAGTAATGGCCTATAGAAACCCCCATGTGGTTGGAAGCATTCTATGTCTGCCATCAACCGGGTTAGGCACCCAGAAAGGTAAGCGTCCCAAAACAAATCCCTATTCTGGTAAAAATTGCTACCACAAGCCGAACAAGTGGTAGCAACAAGAACTCCCCTAAAATAAACGAGCAAACAATCATGACATCACACGTCACAGCGCTGCTGTCCGCGCAGCTCCCCCCTCTCCGGGAGGGGGAAGGGGGAGCTCCAGATCCATCACACGAGCTATCCACCCCCAGTTCTAAGGCTTATGCTAATGGCTGAGGTCATGTGCTCCGGCTCCGGTGGTTGTTTCAGCACTGTACCTAGAGTGTGGTGTCTGTCTTCTAGGTGGTGCGTGAGCCGGGAGTGTTTCTTCAGTACTCGGGCTGCATGCGCCTAGGGTTTCCTTCCCTAGGTGCCCTGTATGTACTGCCCTTGAGGCTTGGGATTTCCTTCCACAAGTTCCTTGGGTTCTGCCCCTGCTAGGCCATTTGCTGCTTGGTTTTCGGCCGCCCCTTGTGTGCTCGGGGTGTTCTGTCTCCCTTGTTTGCTTTGGGGTAGGGGGGCAGTTTGCACTGGCAGGGTGCAGGGTACTGAGTAGCTAGTTTTCATCTATCATAGCAGCTGGCTCTGTTCCGCCTGGGTACGCTGTCCTCTTGCGGGGTTTTCTTTCTCTTTTTGTTTTCTGCCTGGTGGGGGGGTCTGCCTTAGTTCTTGCCCCCTGTGTACCGAGTGCTCTTCCTTCTTCCGATGGTTCCCCCTGCTAGGTCCCCGTGAGTGTACATGTCCCGGGGGTTCAGTTCTTAGAAGGTTGTTTGGTAGTTTTGGGCACCGGTTAGCAGTACCCTGCCTGGGTTTACCAGGCAGTGGTACTGTCTACAGTTTTCAGTCTACTACTCTGCTCTTCACGTCTGGTCTTTTTGACGTGGGTTTATCACCATTAGTATGGTGATAAAATTTATCACCTGCGAGCTTCATCTCGGTGTGCCTAAACCATTTTTTAGGCACTTCATACTCATCCCTGTTAAATACAGTAATTTTGTAAAATGCAGAATTATTTTTTAAATTGTAATATTTACTCTAGTTATTCCTGTATTAAACTACAATAAGCTATATAAGATTATGAACCAAGTAACTTTGCTTCCAACTATTAATAAATTAATTTTTCTTCCAGTGCGATCTAAGATTGGTACCTTTGCTACACCTGATTTTATGCAGCTTGCTCCTAGCCTGCCAAAAACTCGTTCAGGAAAGATAATGAGGCGTGTTTTGCGAAAAATTGCTGTTGGAGATCATGACTTTGGTGACATCTCTACTCTGGCAGATCCCAATATTGTTGAAGAATTGTTCCAGCACAGATCAAAGGAAGGGAGAGTATAAAATGTTGAGTCGTTGGTTTTGATTAGTACTGGTACATGATATTCTCAATTTAGATGTATAATTGTCAGATTTAAGCCTTAGTGTTAACTGGTTATATGTGCATTAATTGGTGCATTTTCAAGACAATAAGTGTGTCATATATACTGTGGAAGGTACTTTAAGTTACTACTGCTACCTTTGTACTTAAAAGCTGCCAAATAATATTAATATTTAATAACTGTGTGGATATATTATTGTTTGGTGCTTCAATTGTAAACGTCCAGTGGTGACATAGGTTTTATGGTGTATATCTTGTTAGTTACTCAGATATATAATTTGGGGAATATATAACTACTGCCCTGGGACGCTACGTCTAATGCACATGTATAAAATTAATAGAAACAATGGCACAAAAGGTTTTACATCACCATTGGTACATCACTTGTGGTTGTGGGATGAGTGAAATTTATTTTTATTGAATGTCTTTTCTTTCTATAATAAATATACATTTTTATTTTTTAAATAATTTGTTGAAGCTGCTTTTCTGTTAATGGCAGTGGATGATCATTCCTTTCCTTTTCACAGTGACATCAGTTAGTTATTCTTTAAAAAAAAATTGTCCTTTCTATTTAGTAATGAAAGTACTACATGCTACTAGTACACGAGTGCTAATTTAGTATTTTTCCTGGTGTAGCCCCTTGGTGGCTCCCTGGAGCCAGCCACCTGGATAGCTTTCATACCTATCATGCCTCTGCCGACCTTTGTGAGTAATAAGTCTACTGGGGACCAGGAGCAAAACCTGCTTCCAACTCAATAGCGGCACAGGGGGTTGAGGTGCAAACATCAATCCAAGCCAAGGAGAAATACCATAAGAAAGGAAGAGCACTGTAAAACAAACAACTGCAAGGAAGAATATACAAAATTATAAATAAAATAAACATAAGAAATATAAGAAAATTGGAAAAGAAAACCTGTCACAACAACTAAGCTGCTAGTTACTGCCTGATGGCATCCCAGTAATCCTGGCCTGTCTGTCAACAAGCCATAGTCATTCACCTCTGACCCTAGTCATTGTCCTCTTTGGTGACTGACTTGCATCCCAGCTCTTCCTTGAGGTCTTTGGTTCCTAGGATTGGGGCCTCAAGGTTGGTGGGGGGAAGGGAAAAAGGTCCAAAGAGGGTCCATGGGTGCCCTTTAATTCTTTATGGTCCTTGTTGCCCTTGTCTGAGGTGTTTTCTCTCCACACACAAGATTTTTGGGGGGGAGGCCCCAATGCCTCCCTGGAGCCATCTTGCTAATATTGATCCATAGTAAAAAGTCATATCAGTCACAGAAGTTCTTTTTGACTTACCAGGGACCTGAACCAGAATTTTGCACCCCTCACAGGTGCAGAGAGAAGGTGACACTACCATCTCACCGGGAAAGGTACCCAGAAAGTCCGTGAACCAATACAGACCACTGCTGGGTTCAAATAGACTAAAGCCTCACAACCTGCTGAATGAACTCTCCCAACAATCTAAACAGACAATCTAAAATCCCTCGAAACAAGCATGCGCTCATTTGCTCCACCCCCGCCCACTCATTTGGGGGAGGGAGGGGGGCTAGGGCTCACACTGTCCACAGGCTGGAGCCATCAGCTCCTCTGCTGATGTGACACATTCCAGATATCTGCAATAGGGCCTCAAAGTTGACAGTAAGCTGTGGCTGACCCCAGTGCTATTCAGCTAAGTCCTTCTCTGGACTTTGTTCTATGTGGTGTAGCATGGGCCTGCACATTAGAGTGCTAAGAGCTACATGTGCTCAGCATTACCTTCTCAAGGTACTCTCTAGCTCTGCCCCTGCACTGACAGAGTTCTCTTCTGTGGTGTGTTTAGGATTTCACTCACATAGATGTCCTTCCTGCTTGGGCTGGCCCTCACCTTGGGTGAGTCAAGGGTCTTGTTACCATGTTGTCTTAGACCAGGTCTGGAGTGATTGGTGGCTGGTGGAGCACACTGGTGGCTCAAGAGCTTGTATTTATGGCATGCCCGAGGTGGGCTTTCACAGCCGTGAAGCCCAGGCTTTGTTGGCTTACTTTTAGGTCTGGTGTAGCATACTCAATGCCTGAGTGTCCTGCTTGGTTTATCCTTCAGGCCCTGGAAATCCTCTATAGGTTTAGTGTTGTCAATGGGTATCCCATCTGAATCGGTTTTTGCCTTGTGCGAATTTCAGGATTGTTTGTTGTCCATGCCAGAGGGCAACAATCATTCGCTCTGCATATGCTATGCTGCCTGTTGGGTTGGTGACACGTACAACACTGAATCCCGTGGAGTTTTACACTCCCCATGTGGCACTCTTATCTGACCCTCCAAATAAAGTTAGTGCATATTAAATGACTACCACTTTGTGGGTTTGTTTTGCCCACCTGCAGTAGTTTGGGATGTGTGCTTGGTTGGATGCCCACAGCTGGCACACCTTGTGTTTTGGGACCAGGAATTGGAGGTGTTGGTGAACTCCACCTTGGCTCCATCTACACCTCTTCCTTCCCTGCTGGGCATAATTTGCCCCCCCCCCCCCCCTCCCTCTTGTTCCCTCTGGTCCATGCTGCTGGCCCCAAAATATCTAAGGGTTTCTGGGTTGGAGTAGAATTTAGCTCGGGAAGTGTTTTGGCCATCTCCAGGGGTGGCTCCTTTTGATCCAGGTACTCACCTAATTGTGCTTGTGGGGGTTGAGCTTTGTCTCTTTGGTCCCGCCTCTCAACTGTCAATCAACTGATGTACAGATTCCTGAGCCTACTGGGCTCTATCATATCTACATTTGAAACTGTGTATGGAGTCAGCCTCCACCACATCACTGCCTAGTGCATTCCATTTATTAACTACTCTGACACTGAAAAAATTCTTTCTAACGTCTCTGTGGCTCATCTGGGTACTAAGTTTCCACCGGTGTCCCCTTGTTCGTGTCCCACCCGTGCTGAAGGGTTTGTCTTTGTCCACCCTGTCAATTCCCCTGAGAATTTTGTAGGTGGTTATCATGTCTCCCCTTACTCTTCTGTTTTCCAGGGACGTGAGGTTCAGCTCCTTTAGCCTTTCCTCATAGCTCATACCTCTCAGTTCCGGGAGATCCGGAACCTCTCATATCCAGAACCGTAGCTCATACCTCTCAGTTCTGGGAGGTGCAGAGGCAGTTGTGTCGGCTGGTCCTGCCGAGGGTTTGGGTCTTTCCCTTTTGTAGCACTCGGCTCTGGGCCTGGTGCAGGTGCCTTGATAGATCTACTGTGGTTTTGTTGGCTGCTTTGCCCAAGCTGTACACTTCCATGCTCTGGAAGGTGGTGGCCATGTTCTATGCTGCCCAACTCTCATGCCTGCTGTTGTTCAAGGTAGGGTCTCATTGATATCAGATTCTGGGTGGCATGTGCTTCCTGTGGCCATTTCATCCTCTGCTGGTTGGCACCATACTCACACTTTGCAGAGGGCTCCTACTTTTCTTGGCTTGTGCTGGCCCTTTCACAGTTTGCCCCTTTGATGAGGTAGTGGAGGGGGGAAAGGGGAACATCTCACTTGGTTTTCCAGCTCCTGGTCCCATAATTTGTGGGCTTTTCCGGTGGTTTCATGATACCTTCGGTGGTATTGGTCAGTCTTTCCCTGTTTTGGTCCCTTCCTCTTTCCCCGGGGGTCAGGGCTTTCAGAGTAGACCCCTTTCCCTTGCCTGCATCGGAGTGGGATGCTTCCAGCATGGTGAAAATGACATCTCTTCGGAAATGACATCTCTGAAAATGACATCACCTTTCACCAGCTACTGTATTGTCTTGCTTCTTCCCGGTTCTGAAAAGGGACTTGGGAGGGCTTTGGTTCTTCCTCAATCTTTCTGAAGTAAACGCATTCATCCCTTGCCCCCACATTGTGACTGACCATTTTGGCCCAAGTTCACCTTGTATTAGAAGCGAGCTCCTGGACAATATTCCTGGACCTCAAGGACACATACTGGCTTGTCCTTGTTCATTAGGGGTTCAGTGATTGGTTAGGTTTTATAGTGGAGCATTAGGCTTAATGCTTTAGGGTTCAGCTTGAATCTGGCTCCCCATGTTTTTATCAGGTTGGCTTGAGCCGTGGTGACTCGTCTTCGTTTATTGGGGGTTTTATGTTCTGGCCTACCTTGACAACTGGCTGGTGTGGTCCCTCTGTCAGTCTGCATGTTAGCAAGCCAGGGATATGATCCTTTCCTTGCTTACCGGGTTCAGGTTCCTTGTGAACTGGCGGAAGTCCCAGCTGGATCCATCCCAGCTTAGGACTTGGTTGGGTCTTCTGGTGGATTCTCGATTGGCATCACTTTTCCCTTCCTCCACTGGCTTTTCTTCAGCTGCAGCACTGCCGCCTGCTGGTGTTGAGGTGGGCCTGGGTGACTCGGCGGCTGCTTCATTGGTCGTGCGGGAGCCTGAACTTTGCCTGCATAGTTTTCTGCTCAGCATAGTGTGGCTTTATGGGTCATTATTGTTCCCCAGTTAAACCCCTTTCACCACCATCATAATTGCTGAGTGCAGACCCCATTGGCTCTTTGCCAGCTACTGTATTGTCAACTTCCTCTTTGAGTTTATCGGGATTTGGTACCTCAGTGCCTTCCTTCACCATTGCTTGATGTTTTTACGGACACCTCAGCACTGAGTTGGGGCTTTGTGAGCAGCACTCGCTAAGCTGTTCTGGGCTATTTGTCTCCCTCTCCACTTTTTGTCAAGCAGACTAAAGGGACAGTACACAATAAAGGGAAACTACATACCTGTGACTATTCAAGAAAGAGATACCTGGGAGTGGACATAACACCTAATCGAACTCATGAGTCACATATAAATAGGATAATGACAGCAGCGTATTGTACACTGGCAATAGTTAAAACATTATTCAGAAATTCAGAAACCAAGTAAGGAGGCAGTTAGGGTGCTTTAAACTGCCTATGCAAGACCAGTCTTTGAGTATTGCACCCCATCATGGAGCCCCCACCTGAAGAAACTGACCAAAGGAACTGAACCTGACATCACTAGAAAAAAGGAGGGAGCAGGGAGATATGATTGAAACATAAAATACTTGGGGAGATTGACAGTTGAAATAGATGAAATGTTCTCACTGAATACTAACAGAACAAGGGGGACAGGTGGAAGCTGGAAACTCATATTAGTCATAGAGATGTTAGGAACTTTTCTTTTAGCATGAGACTAAAGGGAAAATGAAATGAACTTAGGGAGCAGGTTGTGGAAGCAAACTCTTCCTAATTTTAAAACTAGATATAATAGGGAACTAGAACAGGAGTCATTGCTTTAAACACCGGAGGCTAGAAAGGCAGGATCCAGGAACCAATGCTCGATGCTGCAGGCACAAGTAGATGAATACACAGTATGGTGTGGGCATTTGCAGTCATGTGGCATGCCTTGAGGAGGATTCGGATTTCTCCGGGCTTCCGGCTGAACTGTCTCCAGCCGGAAGCAACTGGCTATCCCAGTCTGTCTCCCTTTTTGCCTCAAATGAGGAGGGAAGGTGGAGTGAACTAGCTTCCTCTAATTTTATGAATTTTTGATAGTTTACATTGCTGGGGGAGCTCATGTTGGCCATCTTGAGGCTGTGGTCTTGTATCTAACCAAGCGGTGGTCTGATTTCTTTCACTGATTTTCTGGTTGCCTTCCCTTGGTGGTGGCAGACATGCATAAAATTTATCACAAGTGCCACTGCTCCTTGCACCTCTCTGTGGGGCCAGGTTCTGGTTTGTGGTTACCTGCTTGATACCCACTTGATGAGGTTCTGGGAGTTGTTCTACTCCCCAAGCCTGGCCCAAGGCCAGGCTTGACTTGTGTCTTGTGTATTGGTACCTGGTAGACTAATAAGAACTCCGAGATTGATGGCACCTTGTAATCTGGCACTTTATCAAATATAGTAACTTCAGGGCTCACCCAGAAATTGGCATTTCATTTCATTTTACGCTGGGTTTTTTGTATTCATTTTATTGGAAATGTTGATATTCCTTGTTACAGTTGCTTGTATTGTAGTGCTCTTCCTTTCTAACAGCATTCCCCTTGGCTTGAGTTGTTCTTTGTATCCTGGTCCCCAGTATGCTGTTTGGCCTGCAAAAGCCTGGTGGGACATGATTGCTCAGAAAGCTATCCATATGGCTAGAAAGACGGGTTTCATTTCATTCAATTCTGGATTTATTCATGAAGCAGCTGCAATAAATTTTGCCTTAGATTCTTTTATACATGAAACTAATTTATTAAATGGGAAGGATTTCAAGATGTATTTCCATTATATGGGCTAATAAGGTTCAAAGTGATTTATTTCAGTAAATTGAACATCTCATGTGAGGCTCCTCATAAATACTGTATGCATAATAACTTGTATGTTGCATTCAGAGTCTTGCCGGAAGTATAACCCCTTATGGATATGCTGGAGCAAGACCCATCCATGTACTGAGCAGCTCATGTTTTCATAGTTACTATACAGTCTTTGGTCTGTACAGTCTTTGCTCTATAGTCTATACATAAAATATACCAACTTGAGCTGTTTTTTATTTACTTGTATACATTTTATAAGATAGCAAGTGTAAATGACAGTAGCAAGCTGTAAAAGTTATAAAGATAAAGTTGATGTAAACAACCAATTTTCAGACAGTGAAGAACAGATAAAAAAATAGGCGATATTTGTTCAGAAAACAAAGGTAGATAATGTAGTTTATTAATATTTTTTTAATATACAGTTTGAGGCAATAACAAATGTTGAATGAGAGGTGAGCAAGAGAAGAGTGAAACCAAAGTTTATGTTGCCGAACACATTAAAAAAGTATCATCTGCTGAATTAAACATTCTGCTTGAAATAAGTTTAATAGACTTAAATAACTTGTTCATGATGTATTTGAAAACCTTTGTACAAGTTTAAATTAGTTTAAACTTGTACAAAGATACAAGTTTATACTGATTTGATCCTTTTGTAGAATCTTTGCAGTCTTTGAGGAGATGTGAGTGATGTCAGGTTATCCTGAGGTGATTTCGGGGCTTAGCGTCCCTGTGGCCCGGTCTTCGACCAGGCCTCCATTTTTAGTTACACATCCACAGGAAGCAGCCCGTAGCAGCTGTTTAACTCCCAGGTACCTATTTACTGCTAGGTAAACCGGGGCATCAGGATGAAAGAAACTCTGCCCATTTGTTTCTGCCTCCACCGGGAATCGAACCTGGAACCTTATGACTACAAATCCCGCTCGATGTCCACTCAGCTGTCAGGCCTCAGGAATGTCTGTGACATTCCTTGTGACATAAATCCTGGTTCACAAATGATGACATTAAACTTACACTTATTTACTTGCTTGTCTAAAACAGGTGCTCAGTTATCATCTTCAAGATGGTCTTATTAGCAGTACATTTATGTAAGAATCTGCTTTCATGTGTAACTCTATATTAAATTCTTGATACTTATTGTAAGGTATGTAAGCTTACTATATGGGGGGGCCTGACGGCTGAGTGGACAGCGCTCGGGATTCTGCAGTTATTTTCTTTCTGGAATACTCCCTCAGAAGCTTGCTGATCTTAAAACATATAAGTATCGAAGCCTTGGGAGACACACCTGCTCTCAGATGATTCATGAATGCTTACCAGGAACAATGACGAGAATTTGGGTCACTGAAAGAGGCTTGGGGGAAATCTCAAGTTCAGATATAATAATTCATAATAATTTATTGTTGGGAAACAGGCAGCCAGTGTGTGTCTATGCGTATGTGTATGTATGTATGTATGTATGTATGTATGTATGTATATATATTGTTGAATATGACCGAAAAGGTAAGATTAATAATT